GAGAGAGAGAGAGAGAGAGAGAGAGAGAGAAGGAGAGAGAGAGAGAGAGAAAGAGAGAGCGTGTCCAGGGTTTTCATCAGATTTTCAGAGCTCCTTGAATCCACAAAAGTTAAGAATCATGACAGCACAATGAAGGAAAAAACACATTAGCCAAAAATTGTTCTCCAAGTTGGCCCCCCAAAAAGTACACATATATGTGTACGTGTGTATATACATATGCATGTAATAAGATATCATCAGTAATGTGATTACTCTAATACAGTCAATAAAAAATAATTTCATAGGCTTAAGTGGTCCATCACAGAATATTTTTGGTTTGGTTTTTTGTTTTGGTTTGGTTTTTTTGGTACCGGGGATCAAACTCGGGACCTTGCGCTTGAGAGGCAGGCGACGGCACCACTGAGCTTAATCCCCAGCCCTAATCACAGAATATTTTTACAGTGATGTCTTTAGCAACCACTTGTTTATCTTTTAATAAGTAAAAAAAGAATTAAATAAAAATTTAAAAAAGAACACAGTCGTGGCCCCAGCCTCGCGCATGACCCGTACCACACCTGGCTTCGAGGGTGCAGGCTCCCTCGGGCACTGGGGTCCACTCAGGCTCCACTCCAGGACGGCAGTCTGGTCCCTGTGGTGGGTGGGGAGGGCGCGTGTGGACACTCAGACCTACCTGGACTCTGGCTGCTGACATTTCCTGCAGAGGGTGCCCTGGTGGCCTTACAAGCTTCGGACCCATCACTCGCTGACACTGGCTCATACTGCACCCTCCACTCACCAGCTCAGTTATTGGTGTCAACCTTGTTAGATGGAACACTAATGGGATGCCACAACATATGTAACCCGCTCCGGGACTTAACCTTTTCTCCCCATTAACATATTAGAAAATTTAAAAAAACATCGAAGTGGGTTGGACCTCTTGATCCCTGAGAAGCTCTGGTTTCAAATAGGGGCCGAGCCCTACTAGTTGGACTCACATAAATACAGTTGATTCCCTGGACTACCTGTCCTGAGTTTTTTCAACCGTTTCTCATTTTCAGTTGCAGTGAAATAAAATCTTTCTAATTCTCCTATTTTGGTTAAGTCAGAAAGAGCCGCCCCTGCCCTGGTCCGGGGGTGGACGGGGGTAGCGGCCCATGCGTGGACCTCTTCTGCGCATGTGCGGGGCGGCTCCATTCTTCCTTCTCTTTTAATCTGCCTTTAAAGTTGCCTGGTAAACTTTACAGCAACATGCTACAAAGGCCATGACAGGCACCGCAAGTGGAGTGCCTTTTCCAGATCACAGGGCATTTTTCATACATCAGAGTTGGTTACTGCCGGATTTAGAACCGACTGAAGTCTTGTGAGACGCCTGTCATCGCTGGGGTGAGGGCTGACTGCTGCAGGAGGGACCCGAAATATGCTTACTGTGGGCCAGGCCTGGCCTACACTGCGCCCTTTAATTTCCACAGAGAACTGGGAGCTGGGAACCACTGACCATTTCAGCTTTACAGAAAAAGGAGCTAAGACTCAGGGTTGGGCGGCGCGGGAGAGAGGTGCCGTGCTGCAGAGGTGACGAGGAGACCACAGAAGTTCACCTCCCAGCTCTGCGGCTTCTAGGTGAAGGGTCTTGGGCAAGGTAGTGGGCTCTCTAAGCCGCAGTTTCTTCTTCTGGGAAACTGTCTTAATAACTTCGAGGGAATTTTCATCCCGGGTGGATGGCGGTAGAGGTTTTTCTCCTGCCTGTGAGTCACTGGTGATAGGGAGGCACCAAGGCCAGAGGCATCCCTGAGTGCCTCCTGGGAAAAGCTGACTGCAGAGGCCCTGGGATCTGGTCCATTCTTCAGGGCAGCAAAGCAGAGCAGCCTGGTCAGGCAGAGATGTGGCCCCGGCCTTCCCAGGAACTTTCTTCCTCCTGGAAGACCGGCCCCACCGCACGGCAACGTCCATCCAGGGCCATTTCCTTCCTTTCACTGTGCCCACCCTCCCTACAAACTAAAATGGCATGGGTCCATCCTCTGCGCGGGTCCCCTGAACTCCTCTGTCCCTGACCTCTGCTCCTACCCCGGAAGTGCTTCACTTGTTCAGCCAAGGGACGTCACTGAACTTCCGCTGTGTTCCCCGCACTAAGCGTACAATACTCCTCACATTTCCAGGCACTATTCTGAACACTTTACAAGAATGAAGTCATTTAATTCCCCCAACCGCCTGAGGGTTGGTACTGATATCATCCTCATTTTACAGATGAGGAAACTGAGGCATAGAGCAACTAAGAAACTTGCTCCAAACTGCAGATTTGCAAGTGGTGGGGTGGGGGTATAAGAAGTCTTCTGATTCTGAAGGCCAGGTGCAGGTGTTTTCAAGGGTGCCTATATTATCTGTCCCATTACAGGCATGCTTTCACAGTTTTAAATTCTTAGTGGAGGTTTAAATAAATAATTGGGGGGGGGTACTGGGGATCGAACTTGGGTCCTCGTGCTTGTGCAACAGGTGGCCCAACCACTGAGCTAAATCCCCAGCCCCCAAAATAAATAAATTTTTATGGTGCTCAATTTCTAAATCAATTCTATATTGTTTCCAAGAAGTATTTTCATGTACTCTGTGCCTTGCATGTGATTAGCATTCAGTAAAAGCTGGGCATTCCTGCATTCAAGGAGGGTTCGGTGAGGGCCTCTTCTGGGATGGTACTGGAGTGACACTGGTGGATATGACAGCCTCAGTCCCCCACCTCACAGAACCTACAGACCAATGTACAGATGAGAAAAGAGGCAAATTCAGTATTGTGTTCCATAGCATTACAGAACAAATATAGGATTGTTTCTTAATCTTTTTAAGTGTCGTTTGCACATAGCCTCTTACCTACTTTGTCAGTGTTTTAGTCCTGTGATGTCTGATACCCTGTATTAGTCTACTTTCTGTTCCTGTGACAAAATGTCTGAGCAAATCAACTGAAAAGAGAAAAGATTTATTTTGGCTCATGGTTTCAGAGGTTACAGTCCATGGTAACTTGGCATCTTTGTTTCTGGGCCTACAATGAGGCAAAATATCATAGTGGGAATCATGTGGTGGAGTAAAGCTGACATTCACTTCATGGTGGCCAGGAATGAGGAAGGACAAGAATAAAATATAGCCTTGAAGGTGCTACTTCCTCCAACTAGGCAGTACCTCCTAAGTTGGGAAAGTTTTCACCTCCCTGTAGCCCACTGAATTAGAATCCATTAATGGTTTAATCTATGTATGAGCAAAGAAACTTGAGCAAACTCAGAAGTTTCCTGGTCAGTAGCAGCAGATATTCTGAGCATGCAAAAGGGAATAGGAGCTGTAACATGAGGCATGTGGAACAACACCTTCTCACCCTCTTAATTCTTCCTTCATCTGTAATATCAGGCCCAAGAGTTCTGAAATGTCCTTGGTTTCTGGATGATTCTCTACTCTGGTGACTGACTGTAGTTGACTGAAGAGTGTCCTCCAAATATTCATGTCCAGTCGGAACCTCATGGTGTAACTTCATTTGGAAATAGATTTGTGCAGAGATAATTCAAGTTAGGCTCAAAATGAAATCCTATTGGAAAGACAGACCTACGGGTGTGGGACCATGTTCTGAAAATAACGACAGGACCGGCAAACCTCACGTAGCACTCTTGATGGGCCCAGCACAACTCTGGGTGTGAACTTGTGCACCCAAATTTTATCGTTGCAACAACCACATGATCATTACCCCTCTTTTTTGGGAGATGAAGAGAGGCAGAGGGAAATTGACAACTGGCCCAAAGCCATCACACAGCTTGTAGGAGGGAGGCAGGAGGCAGATGTAGGCAGACTGGCTCCAGAGTCCTGGTTCCTAATCATTTTTTCACGCACAAGTAATTTTGCCATCCATCGTACTTACTAAGAAGAGGATGCTAGAATAGCTAAGGTCCCCAGATGAGGGGTATGGTGTCAGCAAGAGGTGGTTGGAGAGAAGGGAAACTGCAGGGAATGAAGCCTTTGCAGAAGTGTCACCCAGAGCGGGACGTAGCTATGCCACTGAGCTCCAGGGCGCATGCTGGAGTTAACATGAAGGTAGAGGATGGGACTCTTCAATGACCTCCACCTGGTGAAGGAAGCTGACTCCTACACCGCTGCTGGATGCCAGCACCATGGAGCAGACATGGACAGAGTGATGTCCAGTGTGCCCGGACAGCACACGAGAGGGACAACGACCCAGCCAGCATGCAGGAAGAGGGGGGCAGAAAGGGCTTTCTGGAAAGGTGATGTTTGACAGGGTTCTTTCTGGATGAGTAGAACTTAACTGGTCGGAGCAGTCCAGGGAGGCTGAACCATGAAAGCATGGATGATTAAAGCCAGACCAACAATTTCAAGCAGTCTGTTCTTAGGGAAAACAGAGGTGAAGCCTGCCTAGGTGGAGGAAGCCTGGTAGCTTGGGGCCCCACTACCAGGCAAGGCAGCTTGGGGTTTGTCTAGTAAGTGACAGGTTCTGCAGGGCAGGGACAGATGGGGTGCATCCTAGATGGATGTCTCTGTGATGCACAGAAACTGAGTGGGGTCTGTGGCAGAACTAAGGCAGTCAGACCTGCAGGGATATCTGCTACTAA